AACCTCTAAGAGCGATGGCCTCCAACCTCTAAGAGCGATGGCCTCCAACCTCTAAGAGCGATGGCCTCCAACCTCTAAGAGCGATGGCCTCCTACCTCTAAGAGCGATGGCCTCCAACCTCTAAGAGCGATGGCCTCCAACCTCTAAGAGCCATGGCCTCCAACCTCTAAGAGCGATGGTTTCCTACCCTATATAACTAAGAGCGATGGTGTCCAACCCTATATAACTGAGAGCGATGGCGTCCAACCTCTAAGAGCGATGGCCTCCAACCTGGAAGGGATGGCCTCCAACCTGGAAGGGATGGCCTCCAACCTAAGAGCGATGGCCTCCAACCTAGAAGGGATGGCCTCCAACCTAGAAGGGATGGCCTCCAACCTAAGAGCGATGGCCTCCAACCTAAGAGCGATGGCCTCCAACCTAAGAGCGAAGGCCTCCAACCTAAGAGCGATGGCCTCCAACCCATTAGCGATTACATTCATGACATTGTACAATAATGAAGTTCACTGTTCTCTTGCATGAATGATGCAAGCATTCTGGCAAAGATGGTTTTGGGTTCAGAGTATGTCCTTTGGGGTAGTTTGATAGGATATCTCCGTCCTGGCTCGTGATATTGCTGAACATTTTCTTTGCTTTACAACCATGCGGCACAAAACATGCACAAAAACCATCAAACACCTAGATCAGCAAGGATGCTGCTAGGAGCAAAGGGCATCGGGTCTCGTGTGCGCTGCGCATCGGCCAGGCCGTGTGCGCTGCGCTGGCGGACCCAGAGGCCGAGCGCATGGGGCTACGATTCGCCCCTCGGCGGATCTGAGGTGCTTGGTACGACTCGTTATGACCATGGGTGACTGCGAGTTGGGTAAGAAGTCTTCTAAGAGGACCTTGTCCTTCAATGTCTTTGTCTCAATACGAGCAGATGGCCTTGGTCTGGGAAGACATGGACACGGTGCAAAGAAACCAACGCGTCCCAACTTTTCTACCCTAAGCATCCATTCTACTTTCCGGGCTGACACGGAAGCCTTGCCAAGGTGGTGCAAGTCAGGCCATGGGAGATGGGTAACGAAGAGAAGCAAAAGGATGTCCAACCATCCTTACACCGCCATTGACTGCATAAAAGCCAGTTTTGCTATGTTTGGTATGTTTTTGTCGCACTATTTTGAAGATTATTTTTTGTGTTGACCATTTGTTATTCATGTTTCTTCGTCAAGCCGCCCGTTTGTTGGTGGAGGAAACTATAGACACGTATGCAGGTCGCTTTGTTGCCACACTTACCAATCGATGCACCTGCAATCCGTCATGTAAATGTGTCATCATGATCATGCATTTCTTTTCAAAGCCCGCAGGATTCCCTGGAGTTGCCACACATTGACCTCACCCCCCTTTCCGGCTTGCAAACATGGAGGTGCTGAACATGGATGAAGCACCAATGGGCGCATTTGCTAAGCTCATTCAATTTCTCCCTTCAGCTTCTAATTTGATTGTGTAGAATGTCAGTGCTTCTTTAGCCGATGGAACTCTTGGAAGGCATGGAAACAGATACAAGTAGCAGAGACTTGATACTTGCTGCAGAACATGTTTTCCTTTGCAAAGCTGCAAAGCTTGACAGCCAGGCGGGCCTACAGATGTTTCGACGCCTCCATGCAGCACGCATGAGTGTGTGTGCTTTGGCACATGGCCGTAGCCAAAGAGGCAGGGCGCCAAACAAAGAACCGTTGCACCAGCAACAGCCCGCAAGCTCCCAAGTCGTTTTGAGGGACCGCGGTTCCCATTTTGAGCCTGGTCAGGCCGGGCCAACTTGGCAGAGCCCAAAATGCAATTGGCGTGGCAAGAGCTGAGGGAGGCACTTTCACAGACGATGTGAGACTGAGAGGAAACGGCCATTGCTTTCAGTCTTGCAGATGCATCTGGAGCAGTTTTATGTATGTTCAACGAGTGTGATTTTATAAATGGCACAATTGAACATTGAAAAAGACTGGCCAACGCATGACTTCGGGCGCGAAGACATGTTCGGTGTCGGTCCAAAGGCCTACTTGGACTCCACCAAGCGAAGCCAACGTTCACTGTCTCGTCTTCAGCTCTTAGAGGCTGGACTTCGGGCGACTAAGCGCTGGACTTTGGGTGTTTTCCAGAAAAGAGTAGTAACGGTTAGACCAGCAATTCTTTTCGCAAAAGTGATTTTGGGCAGGCTTTGCCTGGGTTTACTCGTGCCAACACAGAGTCCTGCAGCTTTTGTTTGTCCTGGCCCTCACAGGCTGACTTCCAGACTCGTCAAAAGCGAGATCTGGCAAAGGTCCAGAAGGCTGGGACAAATGAGAAGGCTGTCAGCGGCTGACCTGTTTCAAAAAAGGATTAAGCCCGCCCCCCCCCTCCCGACTTAATTAAGTAAGCGCCTACTTAATTAAGTAAGGGAGTAGTTCGCTACTAGCTACTTAAGCTTCTAGTAACTGGACGCAGGATAGCTCACGCTTCTTCCTTGAAGAAGTGCTCGCACTAATGATTTGATTCCTAGATTTTAATATAGGAAAACTTAAGTTACTTGGGACAGCTGCAGGCCCAAGTGGCGCCAGCGGACAGGGCGCAGAAGCAGGTGGAGGTGCGGTGGGGGAGGCATGGAATGATTGGAATGTCAGCTTTGTGACAGCAGGCAGACGCTGAAACGTGTCTCTTCAGGTCCTCCTATCTCGCTGGAGCTTCCAAGCTGACCGCAAAAGGCCGAAAGTGAGCCATTGCCAGACAAGGCTTGATTGAACTTAGACAAGCTTTTTTCACAAGCTTGGCAACGCATTTTTCGCTCCCATTGGGCATGCTGGGCCCTGTAAATAGTCCTTGGTGGTTGGCAGACACCAAAGGGACAATATCGAGCTATGAACACAGGGTGGAACCCTGTTGCATCCGGTTCAACAGCGGCAGGAAGCCGGACCAATACTTCCGTGGGTTACGCCGCCGGTTTCGCTGCTTCGCCAAGTTTTGAGGAATAAAACGCAGCAAATCGTTGTGTGTCGATTGTTTGGTGTTCTTGTACCTGGTTCGATCAGTGCCATGACTTCATACGCCGCTTGGCAATGCTACATATCCTATTGGACAAACCACAATGCGAGCTGTAGTGTGTTTCTGAAGAGACCACTGAAGCACCCCTGAAAAATCCTGACAAGAAGAAAGGTCTCATTTTGCGAGAAACCTGTATGGGTGTTGTGTCCAAATACATCCTGTTCCTTCCAAGACTTCCAACACAATGTAAGAATTTGATTTGTTGGCTTTGACCCATAAGGCTTTAGAAAAGAACACCAATCATGATGTGCTCCTTTTGCTTCCAGAACCTCTAAGCCTCTCTGAGCTTCATGTCCAAGAAAAGGGTTGTTGATGCACAATTGCTGGAGACAAGTGTTTATACAACCCCAGCCAGCACTTGGTCTGACTGTTGCCATTTCTGCAGTGTAGCTCAGTGATAACGTGGGAAGGCAATAGCCTGAGTTGAGCCTTGGGGAAGATGGTTTGGCAGATTTCCTTTCTCTGCTTCCTGGCAGTGTCAGCTCACTTGGAACCAGAGCAGATGCTTGGCATATCTTGGAATAGAATATCCTGCATCAGGCTGGCTTGAAGCTTAAGTCAGATTGCCTGAGTTGCCCTGCCAAGTCAAAATATCCAGTTGGAGGCCATCGCTCTTAGGTTGGAGACCATCGCTCTTAGGTTGGAGACCATCGCTCTTAGGTTGGAGGCCATTGCTATTAGAACTTATTATTCATTCTTTTGATTCATTCTATCTGCATTTATGCAGCTAAGGATCCACCTGGCCTTCGCAGGTCAGGATGCTTCCGGTTACCCGAGTGGCATGACTGTGTCTTGGTTCACCAGGAGCACCTGGAGCATCTGGAGCACATCACATTGCTTGGCACACATTTTTGGAGATTTGTCGGCTAGCATCTTGTCTTGTCAATCAAAGCTGAAAGCAGAAAACTCATGGACGGACTGGCGGCACACACACACCTGTCTCAGACCGTTCAAGTTGAAATATGTAAATCACAAGCAGCTACTTTGATTGAAGGAGCGAACCCAAGGACAGCACTGCCACTCGGCCCATCATTTTTTTTTTGTATTGCAATTGTAATGCAAACGTTCTGATTCCCTAGAGTTTGAACAAGGTACGTGACACTTGGATAAACTTGGCCCATTGCCATTGTAGACTCTCAAGTCGTTTCTGAGGTTCAGTATGGGGTCTCAGCCAGCCAATTGGATCAGTCGACAACAGGCTCTGTGATTTTTGCGATCTTTGTGCGTGTTCTGTGGCCAATTGGTTGAACTGATCGGTGAAACTGCTTCCAATCCTTTCAACTCTTTGAACCTTTGCTTGGCCCGAAGAGGCACGGTTGGAAAGGCCAGCCACTTGTTCTGTTGGACCCTGTTGCATCAATATTGCATCCATTTGCATCCACTTCTTTCCGCGATTAGGCCATGTCAAGCATTACATGGCCAACGAAGGCAGGGTGCCGATTTGCACGGCTTTGGAGATTGGATCGAGAAAGGATTGAATGAACATTGCGTGAAACGTATGACGAACAGTTCAACAGGACTTTCACCACACAGGTTGCCACAGCACACGTATCAGGGGGACTTCCCGACACCCAAGACACATCAAAGTTCGGGCCGCGGCCATGGCCGGCTGTCTGAAAAAGGGCTGCTGACGATGACCGACTATTGGGGGATTTTGCTTCGTAGCGGTTTTCATCATTTGTGACCCGTGATTTGTTTTTTGAGTGGACATCCGTACAGTCCAGAAAGTCCAGTGAATTGCATTGAAGACGAGGACAGCATCCAGCAATGCGATCTGAATCTGAGGCTTCCATTCTCATGCTGAGATCTTGGGCTTGAAGCCGAGCACCAAGTGCCTCACGTCTGCGTACACCGTACACTGCAACAATAACAAGGATGGGTTCACTTGGTAGCACAGTGTTGTTCTAGCCTTGGGCCTAGGAACCAATGCCGTCGTAGGCGAACTGAGATTTTTTGCCTGAATCTAGAGCTCTTGAACACTACACTACACCTATCTGAATCCAGCCAGGCACTGCTGAAATGCTTTGACAGACCATACTTCTGAATGCCTCCCTGGGTACAGTATTTCGGAATATATCGGATTCATTTTGGCGATCAATTCCTAGAAAGAAGTGCTCCAGTGCTCAAGGTACTTCTACCGTGTGGGTAGTGCGCATGACAGCAAGTGGTCAGAGGCAGACTGGGTGATGGGTTGGTGAATGAAGGGTTCACAACATGGAAGGTCAAAGGGCAAGAGAGTCAGAGAGTCTTTTGGTCGGTGGCAACACCCACCAAATGGGCCTCTTTCCTCAGATGACATCCACTTACCCCTAAAGGACCGGTCACTCATGGATCGGTCCCAAGTGACCACGAGACATGCAGGTCTTCAGCTTCACCTCTGCCTCAAGGGATGCAGAGGGGCGCATCTCCTTGGCGATCTTCGGGGACATGGGTGGCTCGAAAAACGGAACGAGGGCGAAGAGCAGAAACATGAGGATGACAATTTACTCATGTTTACTCAAGATCTGGAGCGATGGCTGGAGGTTTTGTGAAGATTTGGTTTGTACTGACGAACTACCACTAGTTTGCATTCCATCATATTTGGGTGTCGCCGTGTCTCAAAAATGCATGACAGATCACCCAGAGAGCGGGCTCCTCTTTTGACAAAACCCAGTTTTGATCCTAGTTGTGAGAGATGTGAGAAAGAAAAAACACAGAGCAAGGAAGGTAGTTAGTTATATACTTATATATATATATATACAATATATAGTTTAACAGTCAAAAGGAAACAGCAAAGGAAGCAAGAAGAAAACAGCATGGCAACAATCATTTGCCGATTTGAGCAAACAAGCATTGATGGGCCTTGCACAAGGCTATGAGAGCAGCGAAGAACGTCCTATGGTGATTACCTTGCACGGCTTGGAGAAGACCGGGCCTCAAGGGTCTCAAAACAGAGATACAAGACATCCAGAACTCTCATTATGTTTCGATCTTGCGCTCTCTTCAATGACCAGACACCAACAAAGGTTCAAGCTATTTTGAGAGGCAAGGCCTCACAGCACACTTCTATCTATGACATCCACTTCAGAGAGAGAGAGAGAGAGTAGATGACTAGACACATCAGATAGTCTATGTCTGAATGCAACTATTATTGTTATTCTTTCAACCCCATGGATCAGACACTTCCGAGAAGTCTGCCATGCCAAGATTTGAACAGACCTATGCCAAGCAGCTCAGATCACGCTGTGTCTCCGGTAGACGATGCGTTTGCAGGAAATGGTCTGCAAAGGAGAGTCGCGAGACCTTGGAAAAGTGGAAGGATGAGAAATCCATCGAAGCTTCGGCGAGACCATGGAGCGGGAGAGGCGAAGCGTCCATATTGAATCGATTCTTTAAGAACGCATCATTTCATTATGTTGCACTTGGTTCTGTGCACAATTGCCAGCATTGGAAAGTCTCATTTCAATATTTTTTGTGTGTACTGCTAGTGCAATCAATGAAGGGAAAACTGTCACAAAAGAAGCGACCATGGGTTCTCTCAACAAGGAATGCGAAAAAGAAAAACAAACAACAGTGGGACAGCGACCAAGTAGCGCATAATATTTTTGGTGAACCTAATGATCCACAACTAACTACTGTAGGGTACATGAACCGCAATACTATTCCATTCCATGCCAGGCGTGCCTTGAATATGTCCGTGCAGAAAGTGCTTTTAGTTTTCTTATTCCTGGGTATACTCGGCGAACTCACCTGCTTGAGACCAAGTCATTTGGCCGTTTGGCCCGAAAATGGTTTTCGCTCCGGATTCCAGTCTGCTGCTTGGCCACAACATGTCAGGCCTTCAACATTTCTTGCATGGCAATGGCAACATCAAGTTCTATGTGCAACTGAGAATCAGTGACCAGCAATCAAAATGTAAAAAGAGACGTGACAGCTGACAACTCCAATAGCCAGGGAGCTTGAGCCCTAATCTGTCCTGTCAATAGATAAGAGTCAAGCCCCTGGGAGCTTTACATAGCTGGCTGAGCTGAGCTGATTTGGAGCCATGCCATCTCATGAGCTCGGTGATTTGGATTTTCCTTGGACTGCCCTCAGCCATTGCCGTGGCAGGGCCAGGGCCAGCACATCCCCAAGGACTGGGGCCCCAAACCCTGTGGAGCACGCCAGCTCATATCATCCTACCACCGGAACTGGAGGATGGTGAATTACCTGAATGGCAGAAGGTCGGGTGGTCTTCACGTGCGCGAGACAGGAATTAACATGCTGGTAGGACTGCCTTGAGACCCTGAGTGATTGAGGTGCTCTCTGCCTACATAAAGGAGCTGGCACAAGAGTCGCCCTCCAACTCATCCGAGGAATTTTGTTTGCACTTGGATAGAGTCTGAATAGACATTTGCAAGTGCAGCAGGATTCCGAACCACAGATATTGCTCTGTGCTAATAGAATTTCATCGAAGGGGATCAAAAACGGGGGCTGATTTCTTCGCTCCAACCCGGTCCGAACACGAAAAACCATTGTTCTCGTGGACTTCGCCAGGACTTGGGCGACGTCTTAAAGTTGGGCGCCTTAAGGGCGCCTGATGTCGCGACTGCTGTCACCAAGTTAGAGCGCCTCGTGGAGGAGGGGTGGAGGGCAGTGCAGGACTTGGCGGCTGGAAGAACCTGACCACCTCCAACCTTCCGTTTGGGCTTTGAGGGGTTTTGGTTGGAAAGATATCAGGCTCAAAGGGTTGAGGATTGGGCAAGCACAGCAAGCAGTATCTTGTTGGTGCAGTCTTTGCCAAGGAGAAGTGTTGAACGTTACAACGAGATGTAACATACCCCACATGAACAAAATCATTCGTGCGGCATATCAATTCATCCTTTCTTGCTCTCCAGGATCCTTCGTCCACCCACTAAAGGCAAGAGAAAACTCACTCACCAACCGTACTTGTTCAGCAGCGCACCATTTCCACAATGGGATGTCCATGGCTTGATTCAGGAAGCTACTCTGCAGTACCTGCAAACCTCCTTGACTGACCGGGGTGCAGAAGGGGCGCTCCGACGGGTTCACATCAGTGTCGCTTCCAGTTGGGTCAAGCTGAACTCCGACCAGTACGATCTTCCTCATGTTCATCCCAAAGTGGCCTTTGCTGGATCACTTTATTTGGACTGTGATATTTGTGGCATCTACCTGCAAGACCCTCGTACCCCTGCTGGAATGGCCGAAGTCCCAGAGGCCTTGCGAAGAAAACTGGGATGGGGAGAACTGCAGAAAGTGCACGTCGATGTGGGAAGCCTCGTGTTGTATCCCGCTTGGCTGCAGCATGCGCCGCTGGGTTCCGGAAGGCGGCGAGAAGAACGCTGTATTTCCTTCACAGTAGCGGTGCAGTTGAAAGAGCTGCGAGAGCCACCTGCGGATGAGTTGTGAAGAAAACAGACAAGATAGATTAACGGGGGAGTATATCCCTGAATGGAAGGTGCTTTCATAGTGCACAGCAAAACGGAATTTGAGCTGTTCCAATTGGACATAGATATGATAATATATATATATATACAGTATATATGTTTGCAGGGATTATATAGCTCGCAGAACATTGTGCAACTGTGCGATAGTTGAGGATTTCATTTGGCATCTTGGAGATATTGGCTACATGGATGATTCCTACGCGCATTCACCGGTGAGGCAATGGGAGAATTTGCGAAGTTGGAAGGTTAGGCTTTTGGGATGGACAAAGTACCATGGCCACTTGTACTTGGCTCCTGGCCAGAAGGGCGGACCACACCCACCACGTCACCATGTGCTACATGGCGATAGCAACCGTAGCCAGGGAACAGGAAGAAGAGGTTTGCGACTGCAGTGGCAAGAAGAGGTAGTCATTTGGAGGAAGGTGAGGTATATGTGGTGAATCTTGGACGCGACGCCTGCCACGGGAACCCTCAACATAATGCGGAAACATGCACGGACAGACCGCCGTTCCATTTGCTTGGACACCTAGAGAACTGTTCCCATGATTTTTGATCGACGGTGCGGATAGGCAGTGCACCGGCAGGTTCACTTATGAGACTGCCTACAACGGGTACATGAACTGGCTTCAAAATCTGACTTCCAGCATGGCCTACATGGTCACTGCAGGCGAGATTCAAACCAGTCATTGTGCAGAAGTTTTCAGTGCTTTGCCCTAAAAGTAATTGATTTGGTAGGTTCATTACAGTAAATCTAGCATCATACTCATACAGACTGGTGTTCCAGTTGAAGTCATGGCAGCCAGAACTTGGCTGAGAAAGGCAATCACGAGTCGGAATGCCACAGTCCTGTATGCGTAGCCTGGTGGCAATTGGGGTGTTTGGAGAGCCAGAAGCCGGTGAACAGAGAGTTGACAGTAGTAACTACAGTAGTCACTGGATAGGTCGCGTTTCCCTAAAAATCTAGGAACCACAGAATGAATAGTGCGAGCGCTTCTTCAACGAAGCTGCCCCGTCCTCGGGCGGGGGGGAGCTTCCTTGAAGAAGCGTGAGCTATCCTGCGTAGTAGCTACTTGTTAGCTACTAGCTACCTAGCTACTACCTCTTCACGGCCTACCCGGGCTAAAGAAAGAACATGTTTTTTCTTGACTGGGATCAATACATACATACTCATTGGCAGCATCAGACACCTGGGGACGCCACTGGAACTACCGTAAACACGCCCGGTTTCTGGTCATGGCCGTCAGTCCCCTTTTCGGCTCAGAGAAACCAAGCATGTCGGACCTGGGCGGACAGAAACATGGCCACGTCTATCGTGTGCTCACACGGAACAGCCCCTTTGCTGATCCAGATGCTTTTGAACCTGGTGCAGACACCATCGGGTACCTGCGAGAAAGCAAAGTCCTAGTTATCGGCGCGGGTGGCCTGGGCTGTGAAATTCTGAAGGATTTAGCCTTGTCCGGTTTTACAGAGGCTCGCAGCTTGAGGAAGAGTTTTATTTTGTTTCTGTCCCCCAAAGTTGGAGGACTTGAGATCTTGGAGGATGTCATATCACCTCTCTGCCCATCTTTGCCACCTCCAGTGTTCAAGTAGACAAACTTTGAACCTGTCACCAAAAAGCCATTACCAAGCCAAGGATATCCATGTCATCGACATGGACACCATTGATGTCACCAACCTCAATAGACAATTCCTCTTCCGTCAGGCAGATGTTGGAAAGACCAAGGCAGAGGTGGCAGCAGCCTTCATCAACAAGCGCTTGGGTCATCTCGGGGCCAAGGTTACTGCCCATGCCAATTGGCTTGCAACAATTAACATGCTCCCCCAATCCGACATACCAATGAACAAGAAGCTTAGGAGGAGGATTCAACGCCCTGGTTTTTGTATATTGAATGTCAACTTGACTTTTGGAAGCTTCAGTGACGAGCTGGTGGCTGAGCATGATTTGCATGAAGCCAGTAACAATGCCGACACCCCACCCAAATCCACCAAATGCCCACCTTAGTGCCACCTCTCATCGACTCTCCACGTCTCCCTTGCAGCTTTATGTTCGTTTGAAAGATGTTGAACGCATTGCCCGCATCAACACATTCGTGCAGAAACGTTGCCCTTTGCAGATGTGTGGCAATTTGGGAGCCTGTATTCCTCTTGAGTAAAATGCCTTGCTAAACATGGAAGGTCGGAAAGATCCAAGACTTCGACGAGACCTTCTACAGGAGAGGCGGGTGAGGAGGTCAGCAGATGTACATGGCATCAATTTCGTGGGGGTTGGCAGGTGTGTCCCGATGTGACAGGGCAGGTGCTTTGATTCACCTTGTTTGAACTAGTAGCGATGCCCTTGTTACTGGCTTCTTGTTACTAGTAGTATTGGCCTCCACCCTAGTAGCGATGGCCTCGAACCTAATAGCGATGACCTCCAACCTAGTAGCTTCTTGTTACTAGTATTCATGCGCTTGTTACTAGTAGCGATACACTTTTCGATGTACATCTATATATGTACATGGATGTGTCTGTCCGTGCAATCCGTACGCGTCAGTGTTGCAGGAAGTTCAACCTTCTCATCGCCGGTCTTGACAACATTGCAGCACGGCGGTGGATGAATGCCACGCTTCACGACATGGTCGACCGCACCTCAGGGGAGCCCGACCCAAGTACCTTGATAATACCCATTATTCGGGAATCGCAAGTTGCAAGCCGCAGATGGTTTGTGGTTTGGTTGTTTGTGTGCAGACACTTTACGGTTGAGGCAATACAACAACAGTGCAGGTTTGTTCGAACCGGGAATTGAACCTCGCTACTGAGGTACGATCATTCCTCTCATTGATGGTGGCACTGAGGGCTTTAAGGGCCAAGCTCGTGTGATCATTCCGACGATGACATCCTGCTTCGATTGCTCATTAGATGCCTTTCCACCCCAGGCACTACCCGTGACTCTCGGAATAGGTTCGTGTCAAGGATGTCCCCGTTTTGAAAGTCTTGATGCCTTTTCTTTCCGATTGCACCTTGTTGTGCTAACCGTACTAAGATGGAGATAGCAGGACGTTGGGACATCCAGTATGGTGTGAGTTCTCTTTGTTCACACCACACCAACAGCAACGGTGCTTGCATGGAGCGATCCATACGGAACCAACTCAGAGACACACCGAGTCACAGGGCCAACGACTCAAATGAGTCATCCATGGGAAGGGTTTCAAATCCCTCGGAAACCGAGGGGAGCGTCCGCTGGACAGGTGAATTACCCTCTGTGCACCATTGCAGAGACTCCGCGTCTACCCGAACATTGCGTGGAGTATGCAGTTGTGGTCCTTTGGGAGCAGAGATTTCCTGGGCAGAAGCTGAACAGGGACTGGGCCGGATGGGTTGGGCAGTGCAAAAATGCCAAGCCTGAAACAGTATTTGCTGTTTTCAGCAGTTGAATAAGATATTAAGCTATGTACGTTAAGGCGTTTTGGCAGCCAACTCTTTTTGTTATGCCATTCTTTTGAAGAACATCGCAGTGAAATGAGGCTGTAAGCCAGTTCAGGCCATTTGTCAGTATCTAGCCGTTTAAGACAACGCGATCCCAGGCAGCAAGGGATCAAAATGAAAGACTATAAACTCAGCAACGTACTGCAAAGAGAAGAAGACAGGAAACTCAGATTCCAAAGCAACTCAAATGAGAGAGTCAAGTCAGACTCAGGGAAATCTCGAGAAAAGGCGCAAGAATATTCAAAGAACAACTGACTTGAGTCTGATTTGAGTCTGAGTTGAGTATTTTTGAGCATTTGGCAGGACAAACTAAAATCAGACTCAATTTGGACTCAAATTCTGACTCAAGTTGGCGTCTGAGTTAAGTTTTTTTCTTGAGTTCTTGTTTGAGTATTTTTTGAGTTTGTTTTGAGCTTTGCTGTTGAGTTTGTTTGGGATTTGAGTTTTTGAGTAGAGTTGTATTGTGTTTTTGTTGTTTTTGTTTTTTCGTTTTATGATGATTTCAGCCCTGTCTGGGCACTGCGTTCTCTGGTATAAATCTAGCTATTAGCTATCAGTTAATGCCCTGTCCAACAAGTTCGCCTAGCTGCTTCTGCCTTGTGTACCTTGCTGGTCATTCTTCATAATGCCGGTGCTTTTCTCTTGCAGACTAGTTTCATTGTGGTTACCTTGTCAGACTGTGAGATTATGGTCAACGCGTAGACCATTCTGATTCATGAATGGCTGTGAAGACCGCAGGACTCCCCTGCAGACATGCAGTGGGTCTACGAACAGGCCAAGGCAGGTGTAGAGACAGACAGTCGTTCCATGTCGTGAAACTGTGGGGCAGTTGTGTCCTTAGCTGCTGAATTCGGACATCGTCTTCGCTTTTCCAGCAATTGGTTTCCCATTTCACTTTCAACACAGGATCGGGCAGCTACCTTCGGGATCCCTGGTGTGACCTATCAGTTGACGATGGGTGTTGTGGCTCAGCCGTTTGGGAGAAGTGATCCAAATAGCAGGGAATTAACATGAACTGATGGACATGTGTCAACGTCGGTCTTGGGTGAACTTGCGCCAGCCGCCAGCGGCGCCAGCGCTGAGGTGAAGCGAATCATTCCAGCCATCGCATCCACCAATGCGCTCATTGCAGCAGCACTTGTGGCCGAAGCTTTAAAGGTGGCAACCTACTGTGGCCCGGTCTTGAACAACTACATGATGTACATGGGTCAGCAGGGTGTATACACCCACACCTTCCCGTATCAGAAGAAGGAGGACTGTATGGTCTGCGGTGGAGCCAAGCTTACCATGAAGCGTCCGAAGAGCCTTTGGCAGCTGATGAGCAATACTTTTGTATGCTTTCGTGCATACGCCCTCCAGTGTTTTGAGATGATTTTGGAGTCTCTGGGACCAGTGGGGGCGAATCCCAAGAGCTCATGAACAGACTTCTTGGACACATGAGCTCTTTGCGAGACGAAGGAGCTCAACCCTGCAAGAGCTCTTGGATGAGTTGGGATCTCATCCCAGCCACGTGGCAAAACAAAGGAATTGTGAATTCTGTTATTTCTTCTAGTTGTCAAGGCAAAGTTATCTAACTTTAAAGGCTTGGGACACCAAGCGTCGTGGTGTGGCAGTGGCTTTGTTTGGACCGAAAGCATCTCATTGTGCGCTTCCTTGTTGCACCGCATTGCGAGCAGACACTTGACCATGTTTCCTGGTGTTTTTGACCCTCACGCATTTGTGTTGTGGACACGATGACATTGCCATGCTTTTTGAATGCAGAACAGGTCCCGGGCTTGGATGGTCGTTGTTGGTGGGATGGGTAAGAATGATGTTGTTCGTTGTCACGGACGTTTTGTCAATTTTAAAGGGTGCACAACACGTTTCCGGATCTACCAGTATCCGGGTAAACTCGGTGGTCGGGCAAGAGGTTGTCATTGGAAGAATCATATTGGCTGTGACCCTTCCATTTCTTTCAGTGCAGACAATGAGTTCTTCTCGACTGGTTGAGAATAGATCTCTTGGACCATCTGTGGATTCCAACACCTCCAAAGCTCGGTATGCCCGACAGCTTGTTGTGGAACGTTGAACACTGTTAGCTTCTTGCTACTAGTTGCAAGGTGCCTTACTAGTAGCAACAAGCTACTAGTAGTAAGGCACCTTGTTGCTACTATATAGTAGCTTCTTGCTTCTAGTAGTAAGGTGCCTTGCTACTAATCTGCCTGTCAGGCCTTCAATTGTCAAGGCCATCGATTTCCAGTACAAGTGGCATTGTCTTCATGCAGAATCCAAAGGCGATTCGTGAGCAGCATGAGCTTCTCGGCTGAAGTCAACTTGAGTTGAACGGGCTTGACACCAGCATTCCTTAAATTTGGATCCCCATGATCCTTTGGATTTGTTGGCCTTCGTTGGGTTCACGCATCAGGGTTTCAGATGTTTCATGAAATGTCCGATCCTTAGAAAACCAATTGGGGTCCCCTACTGAGCTCCAAATTAATTTTCCAGAACTAGTTTCCTAAATGTTGACAACTTGGGCTGGGGGGCCTTTGTGAAGGTGAAGAGTTAATTCACATCAGAAGTTGTATGATATTGTATTTTTGCATGTTCAGATAAGTTGAGAGGTGATTGAAGACATCTACACAAAGCAAAAAGTCATCTAGGTGAGGGCTGAAAAAAGGTCCGCGTGCAGTTCTTTTATTTGGGGTGGGTCAGTTGTTAAGCAGTCCTTGATTTCTCGCTGCTTCTTGTCTTGTAGGACTCAAGTAGAGGTCAATTGATTAGGTCTCTTCCAATTCATTAACCCCTGGAAGACACCTCAGGTTTCTATCTCTCAAACCGACTCGATTATATTTTTCAACTTAATCAACTTAATTAATTTGGACCCCTTACACATGATTACATTGATTTGCTTACTCCGCCTCAAGAAAAACATATTAGGGTAATATGTTCATGATATGTTTCAATGTCCTGCATGTCTCACCGCTGAGGTACAAGCTCCAGATGAGCCTCAAGGATTTGACCCAGGCAGATCCACCGGTCTTCAGTGAAGGCGAAGATTTGATCGTCACAGACCCGATGCTGCCGACCAAGCTGACATTACAGGTCCATCTCGAGTGAGGCCTATGGCAGAGTCTCACAGAGAAGATGCTGTGAGAAAAGGATATCTGAGATTTAGCATGGGACCTGTAACTCTCGGTCATGAACCTTGCTATTCAATCTTTCGATGCTTAGCACATGATTCCCCAGGGCTTGGTAAAGATGCCTCAACCCTGTTCAGAGTGCTGTTTTGAGATTTGATCCAAAACACAGAATTGCCGTTCGCCTAGGTTTTCCAGTGTTGATATTACTGTATATAGACCGGACACATGCCTTGTGGCACTTCTTGCGTCCTTGGCTTTGTCAGACCTGTGCCTGAAGTCTCATCAGTGAGGTCGTGGATCCATTCTTGGGCCGTGCACTCATGAACTTCACTGCGTGCGCTCCACAACGGTGGCACTGGGAATGCTCCCGGCAGGGCTAAGTCCAAGGGCTTTGAAGCGAATCTGAAAAAGGTCAACCTGCATTCACTGTGTGTACTATATGTTATATAAGTAAGACCCGGGATTGTTTTGGAGAGACAATCCAAGGGGGTAACTTTTTGTTGGACTTCAGATAACAAAGGATGTGCACTGGTGGTATGATGCAAGGTACAACCACCGTTGGCACATGCCTTCCCGCAGCAGCGCCGGGCGTGCCAACATGTGGTACAGCTTCAACGTAGCTTGGTCTCACTAGCCGTTGATGCTTTTATATGGAGGATGGTGTTGATACCGCGGCATTGATGTTCCAGCAACAACACTGGCATTTCTTCGGCTGCTGAAAAAGCCCAAGCAGTTTCCAACGTTCAGAGCAATTTCACATCCAGTAGACCTGGCAGTGATGTTGGCACATGTATATAAGGGTAAGGAGGAACAAGACCGTTTGTTTGATTTCAGTTGAGATTTCTCGTCATGTTGACTTTGTTTTTATGGTTTTCTGATTCTCCGTTCCAACTTGGTGACACTTGGTGAGTTGGACAGTTGCAGGGTCTGAGGCACTTCCATACCCAGCCAGTTCGACTAGTTCCTTGGGGACCTGGGGCAGAAAGAACACCCTAATGAGACTGTGTAGAAATTGCATCCAAGGGTTGAATATGGGTGCCCAATTATATTGTAGAAGTGAAAAAAGTAGGTTGGAGGCCATCGCTCTTAGGTTGGAGGCCTACTGTTATGGCCTGGATAGACGATGGGACCGGATAGGCCTGGATAGACTGGGCGGTTGGTCCGGCCACCTGAGACGCCAGGTGGGCCCCATCCACTTTGTGGCCTTGAATACCGAGACAGACTTCCCTGGTGCTGAGGAGTCCAAAACTGGCCACTGGGAGTGCGAAATAGGGGGAGCTTTCATTTGAGAGGGCTCTGAAATGCAGCCGGACCGCACTCATGAAACGCAGTTTTGAGAGGTTTTGTTCTCACTACTCGGGTTGACTTTGTTTATATAAAACTAAGACCCTTCAAGCATTATCCAACTTTTTCACATGCCCAATTGATGGATGTTCGATCCTGCGGGCGCCACTTCCGGCAAACCAGAAGTGGCCATGGGCCATAGGTGACGGTCACATCTCTTGGTTGAAAGCAGGGCACTTTGGCGCGGAAGGCCGGGAGATCAGATGCATTCGATGATGCTTTTTTGTTTCTTAACGTGGACAGCAACATCAACGACATGTGACATTCTGTGACATGTTTTCGATGACGCTTGTGATCGTTTTGGGATCATTCGGTCCTTTTGTCTTCGGTGTATCCGGCACAGGTGAGTACCTCCGATGGCTCGAGGCGGACTTGAAGGCAGCGAGGGCTGCCGGCAAGAAGTGGATCGTCGCTGGAGGTCACCGGCCCTTGGCGACTCGGTGATCTCTGTTGCTTTCGAGGAAAGGCGAGACAAGCCGCGAAGATCTGGTTACAGTATGCAACATAAAAAAGGGTGGTGATAGCACTGGGATGGGGGCCTTGGCTTAGCTTGAGCTGTGTGGTTTTGTGGCAGCGGCATTTTCAGCCTCCTCCAGATTGGAAGTGGCTGTCCTTGATGTTTGCATGAGTCGTCTGCTCTGCCAGACCAACATCGATACACCAGCACTCGTGCATACCGAGCTGCTTGTTCGGGTTGTTGTGGTCTCGAAGCTCCCAGCTCGCTGAGATGCGCCTCAAACACTCGGGGATGATTGAGCTACTGGAGATTCTCGGCTCTGGGTTAGGACTTACAGAGATGAGTTTCAAATTGAGTGGAGACGGATGCAGTAGGACTAGGACGTAGTGGTACAACCAAACGCGGTGGAAATACGTTGTTACATCGTGTTATATATCGGTTCTTGGAAGAGAAATCTGAGCCAGTGGCCATCTTTGTCCAAGTCAGTGGCTTCTGCTGGTGTTTGCAGATTATTCTGCAGAGAGCAACGATCAGTATTTCTCAAGCTAGGCACCTGGATGTTTGATGGGTTTCAATGACATGTCATTTCCCATTGGGCTGGTCTTTCAGAGCCTTTTGAATGACTGCTATATTCCAAGCCAAAGACTTCAGGAAACCGACAGGGAGGATGGAGAGATTGTAGTAGTAATGCTCTTGTTACTAGTAGCGGGTAGCGATGCCCTTGTTATACACTAGTAGCTAGAGCTTCTAGCTACTATATATAACTTGCCCGTCTTCAAGATGGTAAAGCTCTTTTGATGTCTCCAGGAAATATGAGGTGGACTTCTATTTCGCAGGCCACGCACACAGGCCGAGGGACAAGACATGGGACTCTGCTTCCTTCGTGTTTTGGGGATAGCCGATCAGGTATGTAATGCTCAATAATCATACCCAGTAGTCATGATCCTTTGATAGATGGAACTTGTCCTTCAACGACCGGAGTTGACACGAACAGAAGCCAATTGGTACCTGTGTGGATAATGGCTGGGAGGTATTGGCGTGATCCTCCGTCCGGTGACATCAATGCCTCATCCAGCTTTTACAAGGTCAGGCTGGAAACCACATCCAAGACGCCTCAAAAGTTGAAACGCAATCTAACGTACTACGACAGTTTGACACGCGTTTCCAAATTTAACAGGCAAAATGCAAGTTGCAATTCGACCCGTCCCCTGGTCTAAAACATGGGGATGGAGAAGCCACATGCAGAGGATGCTCAAAGCTCTCCTGTACTGATGTTTTTTGGGGGTTTAATGAGCAAAAGACAGCGTGGCTCCTTTGACAGCAGAAAGGTATCCCAGTCCGATTGCTATCAGCTGTAGATCTGCAGCCCGAGGACCCCAAGGGCTACATTCAGATTGTGTCTGGTGGGGCAGGCTGTGATGTGACCTGACGAAAGGAAAAGAACATCCCCACATTTTTTGCTTGGGAAGCAGATAGTTGCAATCTTGCACAGATCTAACATACAGTATTGTATAACTTGAAAGCCAGCCTTACACTTGGTCCAGCAAGGTGCTGTTGTTAACTAAGGAGATGGCATACAAGGTTGCTCCCCAGTGCTCTGCAGGTGATCTGGGCCAGATCGCCATCGCCGTTTTTGTACTGCTCGAGTAGCTTTTACACATCAATGTGAAAAAAGCGAGGCAAGAAATCAATTATGCAAAAAAGCCGGAGCTTTTCTGTGCCCCAACCTAGGTCTAGCTATGTCTGTAATTAAGTAGCTTATCTTAGCTACCAGCAAGCTCCTAGCTAGCTCTCTTTGCCTACCCCCACTGTCTAAAAAGGTATGAAGGGGTCGCTAGGCTCTTATTTTCACGCTTCTGGTATGGATTTTGAACCCTGACCTAGCACTGAATACTGGCATCCTACCTGCAGAGGTGAGGCTTGCGTTCCAAGCGAGCACAAAGCGGATGACCCGGAAAGGACTTCCGAACTGAACCCAGTGCCACTTGACAAGGTTAGGGGTTTGCGCTTGTGCTTCAACATGCACCGTTCCTTGGTGCTTCAACATGCGTTTGGGGCATGCCATCTTCACCGAGCCACGAGCAGACGAGCGATCGGATGAGATCTATCGTTAACCAGCTGTGCCGGGAAAGGGAACGTCCTGAGGTACGCCACAGACGTGCTGTCCATGGGCCGTTTGAATGTGGTGAACTCTACCACGATGCACTTTGAGTTGGTGGACTCCAAGCATGGCCAGATTTTGGACCGACTGGCCTTTATTGTACAGTGGGGGTATCAGACCTCTGAGAACAACAAACGGTTTCGTTTCCCGAATTGAACGGTTGAAATCTTTGCGCAGGACCAGATCTGGGTGACCAAGACCGCAAAGGTGTCGACCTACCTCGTGTGATGGACTCACGTCGATGAGCGCCTCAGCACTTGTTTTTGCTTTGCGTTGGAATCTATGAATCTGACAGGTCAGAATTTGCAGGTCTTTGGTTTTGTTTGGAACCGAAATGTCCAGCGCAGATCCCATTTGAAGAGTTTTGCAGGCCAAACATCTCAGGTCGTCTCAACGGCTTTGCCTCTTAAAGTAGCAGAGCAGTTTGGGACAGCCAATGATTTGCTTACATACATGAGCCAACCTTCATCGGTTGGCTCACTTGCTTGGTAGAGTCAGCGTGTTGTGCGTCACTTGGACACAGGCAGGCAGGCGACCAAGCAAAAAAGTACCCGAATTCCCTTAATGAAGTCGAGTTCCTGACTGTTCAACACGTTGATTTCTTGGAAAGTGCATATTAGATCCCTACCTGCCGGGAGGGGGGACCTCACAAAAGTAAGTTACATTTTAGGGTACCCCCTAGGGCCCTAGGGGGTCAAAAAATGTAAGTTACCCCCCCCCCCGGCCCCCAGGAAAGGGGGAACGGGGGGGGGGGGGGGCAAAAAAAAGTAACTTGTTGCCTGGGACGTGCTTACTTACATTTTACAACCCCCCCCTACTGGGGGTCGGCAGATCGAAGTGGGGGGGGGGTCTGGAAAATGTAACTTGCGACAAGATATGGCATTCAGCGTATTTGTTAACATGGGTTACGAGCAGGTTTGAAGTGATTTTTGATTCTTCTTGAGCAGGGGCCACTCTATTTCCTATGACTACAAAGTTGGTGCACCGGATATGCGCAGCCCGTCTTGGTAGCGAGAGGATAGCTGACAACTTAAATACTATGTATACTAATGCATATATATATATATATTATATGTGGAGAAAGCAGTCTTTGTGATGTTTACCAGAGTTTACCCTATTTACCCGGTTGTTGGTAAACAATTGTTTGTCTTACCGTATTTTGCTCCTGACCCTTCACGGAGAAAACAGTAAACATATGTAAAAAATACACGGTCTTTATCGTGGTGGTTGGTCAAATTTTGTGTGTTCTGCAGTAGTCGCTCGCAGCGCAAGGAAAACAATAAACGCAACAACAGTTCTTACAGTTTTTACACTCTAGACATGAGACGGGAGCGTCGTGAGCGGTGCATATGACAATGACACTTTTCTAGAACAATTTTCAGGCATATTCTTTGGCAAGAGTCATGTGTCAGAAGGAACATTTGTGAGTATCTGTCTTAAGCAGTGACTGCCATTGGTCTGCATTTTGGCATCCTTCAAGGTCAAGGAATATTTAGAAAGCATCCTCATCTGTAGTAGTATTTGTGCCTGACACAGCCATGCAAGCCGAAGACATGACCTATGATGATATGCACGAGGTTGTCAATAGCTTCATCTGCAGAAGCACCTGTCTGCATTGCGTGCCAGAACAACCATGTAGATCCTTCATCTTCATTAGCTGAACCAGGCAACCATTTCTTTGACCCCAACCTCCGCCATTAGCAACTTGAAAAATAAGCAGCCCGCAGCAAACCCTTTCCTTTTTCAAGCTACCCTTTTAACCCTTTTCCAAACTTTCGCAATCGCAATCGCCAAGTGCAGAAACATTGCCCTGTTGATCCGCCGCCACCCAGTTCAATTGATTACTCTATATACATAGAAAACCAACGGCAATGTGCAGGCCGAGCGCTTGCTGAGGCTGAAGAATTTAAGACATGGCTGCAAAGAGGACAAACACACACAAAGGGATTGTTTGTCTCCGTTGATGGCAGTATTTTTGGGTCCTTGACGACGTTTAATCGGGGTAAGTAGTTGATGTCACCTCAGTTGTAACACCACCTCTAAACATGTACAGTCATGTAGAGGGTTCATTGTGCCCAGCTTCGTTCCGGGTTCAAGGCCGGACAAATACTCTAATTGTATATATATATATATATCAACACATTGAGTGATGACAAAACAAACATACACAAACACATATTTGGTCATTACTGTTTTTGCCGTTTTACTAAATTTCGTCCGCCAAAAGGTAGTTTTTTCCCTACCGCACTGACCCGGTACTGGGGTAAACCGAGAATTCAGCCAGGCGCCCCTAGTAGCGCTCTTGCTCCTAGTAGTAAGGCACTTGTTCCTAG